CCGCCTCGGTGCGGTCTGAGCGCAGAGCAGATGTCCCGGATCCCCCTGGGAGGCAAAGGAGGCTGCTTCCCCCAGCAGCCTCCTTCCCACTCCCGCTGCCCCAGCTCGGCCGGGAAGCCCCGCAGAACCCGCTGGAAGCAGCTCGGGAGGGGTGCGGGGTGTGCAGCCTCCAGACGGAGAGCCCAGGTGGTGCTGGGCACAACAGCCAGCCCGGTGCCCTTCTGGTCCCTGACCTAGCGGGGGGGAGGGGAGCGGTGGATTCCGGATCCCGGCTGTTCACACCAGCGCTCGGACTCCGCAATGGCACAGAAGCGCTGAGCCAGGTGCCAGGGGAGGGGGCAGAGCCGGGAGCCCTCCCCCCCATCCCCCGTTTCTCCCTCCTTGGGGAATACAGTGTCCGCTCCTTAGCTCCAGCCTGCCCCCAACACCTCAGCGCACCGACTCCTGCTCCCGATCCCCCCCACCCCCAGGAACTTGGGTCGCAAGCCCGGCTCAGACTGCCGGGGCGGGGAGCCCCGATCGCCTCCCAGCGCGTCCCCCGGCTCAGTCCCATATCCCGGCAGTGGAGGCAGGTGGGTCCTGGCCGCTCCGCGCTCTCCACGGGACTAAAGTTGCCGGCTGGGAAGTTGCTGGAGCCCTGCCCCCAACCCCCCATGGCGCTCCGGCCGAGGGTCCCCGCGGTGGGGACGCACCTACCTTCAGCGATCGCCCTCTTCATCTTAGGGGTCGGGGCAGGCTCGGCTCGGCAGGCAAACGGGCGCCGGGGTACAGTCCTCGCCAGCCAGCGCGGGCAGGTCCGCGTGCGAACTTCAGCCCGAGCGCAGGGCGGGGGCTCGCCCGCTGCCGGAGCCCGCGCGCAGCGGGGGAACAAGCCGCCCCGGGGCCGGAGTCAGCATCCAGGCGCCGGCTCCCCGGCCCCAAGGCGCACGGCTGGGGCGCAGCGGCCGCCGCGGCGCGCACGGGTCCTGGCGGGGAGAGGCGGCTGCGGCGCGGGGTCCCTGGGAGCCGAGCGGGGCGCGGGAGGGGAACGCGGGCTGCCGGGCGGGCTGCAGCGCGCTGAATGTTTTATGGGATCATGTGGTTTGACGTGGAGGAATCAGCCGAGCTCGGATTTCCTGGCTGGAGAGGGGGCTGGGGGACAGGGCGGGGCGGCTCCGGGAGCGGGGCGCAGCGCGGAGCGGAGGGGGCGCACGGGGCTGGCGGGGGGCGCCGCCCGCCGGTGGGGACCGGGATCCCGGGGCTGCTGCCTGCCCGCGGGACGGGGAGGGGGCAGAGGGGAGCGAAGCGGGGTCGTGCGGGGACCCCGGACCGCGCACTTGGGGAGGGGGGATAACGGGACACAGCGGCCGGCCCGGCCCGCCTGGAGGGCGGGTTTGCTGGGCAGGTGTCCGACCAGGGCCCCGGTCGCTGCCGGGCTCCATGGGACAGGGGTCTGAGGAGAGCGCCCGGGGTATGGGGGACGGGCGGCGGGGCCGGGGGCGGCCGGGCTGCTCTCCCCATCCCGCACTGCCCTAGCCGGGCCGGGATGCCACCGAGGGGCCCCGGAGCAGCGGCTTGCCGGCGATGGGACGGTGCCATTGACGACGCTGGGAGGAAGCCCGCTCCTTGCCCCGCTGGCAGGGGGCTCCTCCCACCAGGCCCTGCGCTGGCCCCCGGAGGGCGATCGCCAGCCTCCCCATGAGGGTGGTTTGAGGGGAACCAGCGCCTGGCAGTGCAAAGGCAGGTGCGTCCATTCATTGGTCCCGGAGCCCCCTGCTGGCACCGGATCAGACCCGGGGCCCTCCAGCCCAGGCTCTGGGCTCTGCCAGAGGCCAGCCCCGCAGGAAGGTGCAGGTGGCCCTGCAGTGGCAGTCATGATACACCTGGATCTCAGGGCAAGCTTCTGCCTAGCCCCCTAAGTTAGAGGTCCTGCAAGATATATATCCTGCCCCACGCCCTCTGCTGTGTCCCCCTTCTGCCAACGGGGTCCACCAGGGCCAGCCGGCCTGTAGTGTTTCTAGAGGGCCTGTTCTACAACAAAAGAATTGCTGGCTACAGTCCCCACACTGCCTGGCTCTGGGACATTACAAGGTAACCTCCTTGGTCACTCTAGCAGGTGGTCCCCGCCCCTGCACCACTCAGAGACCTTTGGGAACATGGAACCACAATGCTTTCACCTGGGGTGGGGAGAGGAACACAGGCAAAAGAAACAAGGAACCCCCCCTATATATATTTTCCTATAAGAAATGGAGCAACGCTAACAGATACGCCAGGGATTGGGTCAGTGTCCTCCTTCCAGGCAACAAATGGCCAGCGGATGGGGTTCCAGGCTCCCCCAAAACCCCTCCAGCGAGTCTAACCTGGTCTACACTTAAAAGTTAAGTCAACATAGGCACAACAGCAGGGGTGTGAAGAAACCACAGCCCTGAGCAGCGTAGCTCTGCTGACCAGCCCTCCAGTGGAGACACACCAGAAGAGTGCTTCCATCCACACAGTGACCCTCGTTTGGGGAGGCGATATTCCCACACGGACGGAAAAACCCCTTCGGTTACATGGTTATGCCGGCATAGCTACAGCGATGTAGCTACACTGGTGTCATCTCGGTCATTTCAGTTTTCGGCTGTGTCTACACTTAAACTGCTCATTGGTGCCGCTGCAGCCAGTATAGGACTTCAATGTAACCCTTGTGTGAGAGGAGGGGTTCTCCCGTTGCTGTAGCTAGGCCAACAGAAGAATTCTTCTGCCAACCTCATGGGTTAGTCGGTGTTGTCAGACGCTGGTTGCATGTGTGTTTTCTCCATGAGCTGTCCCAGCTCTGCACAGTTAGCTGGTTGACCTCGAGCGAACCACCCAATAAGACCACAAATCTGTTTCAGTAGCAAAGGCACCCGGCTAGGTTTATAGTCGACGAAGCACAGTATTAGCACCTGATACGTGCTACCACTACTGCCCATGACAATAGATTCAGCTCAGTGAATGGTGGGACTTTTCATTCCCCCCTTGGCTGGCCAACCACACTCCCTCTGAGACCCCTCTTTATACACCCATACAAATGTAGTCAGGTACCACCCTTTACCTTGTACCTGTTGGTGTGATTAAAGCATCTCTATTCATCACACTGTCCTCCTGACCTTATCTTTAAGAGAGGTCCTGTTATCTTTGGGGAGTGTGTTTGTACCATACGTGGAACGTGCTGACATGAGTGTCCTGTGCCTAGCACGTCTCAGGAATGTGGGTGTTTTTGCAATACCAGCCCTGGTCTTGCTGGGTTCTGTGATCAGGACTTCTGCTCACAGCCTGACTTTTGCTAACTTTGCGTGATATTAGCAGGGCTTGACCACTACTTTAGTTCAGGCCTCAGACCAGGCCTCTTGTACCAGGCCTCATGTCCCAGGCTCTCTCTTTCTACTATATTTAGCTTAACTCCTTCACTTGGGGGGTGGATTTTCCACACCCCTGAATGAGGTAGTTGGGTGAACCTAGCTTTTTAGCATCAACCTGGCCTTAGTGGTAGCCCAGGGGCAGCTCTCCTTCAGTCCAAAGAGACAGGTCAATGATCTCAGCTCTGCTTCCCCGCCCTGGCCCTCCCAGGGTGCTTTGGAGTCAGCTCTGCCCTGCTGCTGTGGCTGGGCCAGTTACACCTCACTGTGGATTCAGTTCTGCTTCTGCTGGCCCAGGCCCCCAGTGTTTCCAGGTGGGGAAGCCAGAGCAGAACAGAGCGTGAGTCTCTTTTGGAGCCTGACCCCCCCTGACACCCTCCTGTGGTGGGGCACACGTAGCTCCTTCTAGGTAGCCATGAGCTGGGCTGGGCTGTCCTCACAGAGCATCATGACCTCAGTTACGCCTCTCCTTACCTAACCCTAAATCTGCCACGCGCTCTGTGCTGACACCAGAAATGGAAATCCACCCAACGGAATGGCAGGAACGGGGGCTTCTGGGCTGATCCCCCCCAGCCTGCAGAGCACCGGTGGGGCAGTGCTTGTGCCATCCAGTCCGTGACTTCTAAAGAGTTTTGCTGATATCTGGCTCGAGTAAGGAGGGACATGAATTTGCCCTTCTTCTAATGCCACTAGCCACATTTATCATCTGCTACCCACCACATGGCTCAATGGAGAACCCCACATTGGAGATAGTAAAAACCTACAGCCCGCAGCCATTCCCCCCTGCCCCTGGCAAAGGCAGGACTGTTCCCACACTCTACTCCCCAGCGCTTCGTCCAGTCTTTGCCCCCCATGCCGGTACGCCTAGACTATTCCACAGGCGAATACGCCTCACTGCTAGGAGCTGACAGTCGCCCCCTGAGGGAGGCGACTGGAGCTTGACTGAAGGGCGTTGTTACCCGTCAGGATTGAGGAGCATAAGCAGAGTGGGGTGGGGGGCAGAGCTGACACAGGAAGTGATGCTGCCACCCACTGATGAAGAGGACGGCTGGAGTAGGAGGGGATGCTGCAGATGAGGTGCATTGGCAGACCAATGGTGCAGGCATGCCCCAGAGAAGGACTGAGGACTGGCAGAACTGGAATGGCAGGGGGACTGCGGGTCAAGATCGAGGGGCCTTGGCAGAGGCACTGCGGGGAGCCCAAGGCTGGAGTAGCAGAGAGGCTGTATTGCCGCATGTTGGCAGAGGGAAGCGAGTTCATCCCACACGGCCTCGTTTTAGCCCCTGTGCTCTCTCCTTCGTTGTCGTCAGCATGAACATTTACCAAGCCTCTAACTACAGGAGTGTTGAGCGCGGTGAAACACCGATTGTCTTACTTCCCAGGATTGGGCTGAAGAATTCAAACCAGGGCCTGTCCCAGCTGCGGCGGGGATCCAGGACGTCGCAGTAGGCTGGCCGGGTTACGCTCAGCAGCAGAGGTTTGAAAAGGACACCGAGGGCTCAGTGCCTGAGCTGAGCGTGGTGCACTGACGGTTATGCCACCTTTCTGACCCAGGCAATCCTGAGCCTGGCTGGGGCCGCTTTGGCCAGCAGGGACCGTTCCCTGCTAGCCAGACCATTGGCCCAGGCTCATGTCTGCTCTAGACCCACCCCCTCCTACCCTGATGTGCTCCCTTACAACCCAGTAGGCCAGCTACTGTGGCTTTCTGCCAGCCCAGGATTCCCTCACACTGGCCATCTCCCAGTAGCCGGCCATGCCACTAGAGTAGTGCACTGGATGATACGCTCGCTGCCCTGCCTAGCAATTAATTCTGCCCCCAGTCCAGCCCCCAGCCTCCCCTCTGCTCCTCCTGAGACTCTTCACACCCCCCCCACCCAGGTGAGCAGCTACAGCGGGGTCCCCCCTCCTGCCCCTTCCCAGGCAGGTGCTGCGTGGGAGAGGGGGAAAGGAACCATCCTGTCCCTATTGCTCATGGTGTCAAGTTGCTGCAGAGAGGGGCGGGGGAGAGAGCTCTGCCTGCAGCAGCTCTGATTGGCTACTCTGCCCCAAGAGGCAGGCAAATGGGTCAGCAGCCAATCCGAGGTCTCAGATTTACTAGATGCAGCAGCACCAGCACCCCGGGGCCGATCTCTTCAGCACACAGGAGGCTGCCCTGGGCACTGCCCTCCCACACCAGCTAGGGCTGTGGGTGCTGGGGGTTAAGCAACAAACCCAATGAATATGCATGACCTCATTTGCATACCTCCCACTTGCAAGCCCTTGCAACGCCTCCCGGTCAAATCAATTTCCCCTCTTAAACCCACCTTCCTCCCAATCAGGCTCCCCTAGCCCCCCTCCCTCTGGTTCCCTCACCCAGCCCTCTGGTCTGGCCTTGTCCTGACAGCCCCCGACGCTGGCTCCCCACATCCCCCCTCCCTTTTGAGCTCCTCCTGTCATCCCCCCCCACACACATACATACATAGACCCTGCCTCCCACCCACCCCTTCCAAGTCGTTTGTGCAACGGAGGATGCAGGGCACACCTGGATGCAGCCTGCCCCCTTCTTGCCTCACCCCAACTTGCACACCTGTGCACATTCCAGCCCCTCCTCATGCCACCTGTGTTGCACACCTGGGCACGCTGCAGGGACGCCCCTGTCCCACCCCTGCCTTGCACACCTATGAACAGACGGGACCTTTTGGAGAGTTATGTCCTTGCGGGAGCC